AAAAAATGTCATAAACCTCATCTGTAACTATCTCATTGAAATTGTGTATTATCCCAAAGCAGTCCTGATGGAAGGAGTAATGGGAGGAGTAATGCCCCCCCCCCAAAGAAAGAGAATAGACAAATGAAACTTCAGTGGGCCTAATCGGAATGCACCCCACCCTTTTGTCCCCTCAAAAAAGAGACAACTGTCCTCTAAGTTCTGGGCTGTTCCCATGTGCTAGCTGCTAGGGAAAATGAGACAGTGTTTTGATGTGTGGAAATTCTCAGCATGACTTGAGAATTCCACATGCACCTTGTGACAAAAAGCTGCCATGAGAGCATCTTCCCTCAAACACTTTGCTCACCACCACAGAAACAATGAGCAATGTGTGTGTGTGCGCTTGCGTGTTGAGTGTGTGTGTGGGACATACTCAAATGGTATGATTAAAAACTTCCTCTACCTCTCACTATCTCAGGAAAGAGTGAAACTGAAGAGTTTAAATGATGAGGGGGCAGGGAGATGGAGAGAGAACATTAGAGAAACACACATCTTCCTTCTCCCTACAGACTGTATCTGACCAGTCCTCATGTCACTCTGCAGAGCCAGCCCCACTTGGATTTCAGCCCAGACCGGCAGCTTATTTTAATATGACTTAAGGAGCTCTTAGGGGGACGTACATGTTGGGGACAGAGCCTTTCTTTGGAAAGAGTGGCAATCTGTTACTTTTAGCTCTATGGGATGTTAAAGGGGCTGCTTTTGGAAAATACAGCCTTAAAATGAGCTGCCATCATAATTGAATGTAACAAGATAGATTTATTTTATGGTTATTTGCTGGCCCAAATTGTCTGAAGATGCTTTTTGTCTCCTGGTTCTTACACAAGTGCCAGCATCATCGATTCTGTTGTCTGCCTTCTATACAAACGCCTACCTATTATCGAATTCACGTGCTTCGAGTCATGACAGTCACAGCACAGGAATCTTCTGAAACTGTACTTTTTACAAAAGTGAATGAGGCTATTCTCCATGCTGCCAGACATTCTGGACAAAGTGATACAACTGAGAGCAGCAGGGTTTTCTGTTCCTCGGTAGTACCAAGTGGGACTCTGTTCTGGCTTCCCATGTCTTAACCCCCTAAGACCCTGAGGGTGAAGACTGTGTCTTGCTCATCTCTATAATGCTTGGCTCTGTGAGGATTTGAAAGCTGTAAGGGGCCTTTAGAACCATCTAATCTAACTTTCTTGTCACAACAGGGAAATGGGGTGTCCAAGAAATGAGAATCCTGACCTATTTTGTTCTGGCAGAACTGGGGATTTGAGTCCCGCTTTCCTGACTTCCAGATCCTGTTCTTTAAATACACACACAACACACAACACACAACACACACACACACACACACACACACACACACACACACCCACACATACCCCTCCCTACCTGGCATGGTTCTGGTTTATGCCTGCTGCCCTGGCTTACTCATTAGTGGAGTCTTGTGTCTTTACCCCAAGTCTCTCAGTAATGAGAGAGACACTGTCCACTCAATCCAGTAATATTTCATCATCTTCTTCCATAACTAATAAATAAAGGGAGTGAAAACAGTGTTCTAGATGACTGCTCTGCTCAAGGCTTGACAGGATTTCAGAAGGTATATTGTGGAGACTGTTTGCATCTGTGTGGTTACCATCCTGTCTAGGACAGGAGGGGAAGCCCTAAGCCAATCCCAGGCTGGCACTGCCATACAGTTGCTACTGAAAGACCAAATGAGGCAAATTTGTTCTGCGATCTCAGCTCCCATTGTGAATGATCAGGATCTGAAGTGGCTGGGGTGAAGTGAGGTCACAGGGGTGGATGCGGCATTGTGCTTATGCTTTTTGTGCGCTCTCAGTATCGGGATGCTTAGCCACAGAGGGGGCTCTGGTTGAGGCAGACACTGCAGGGCTCCGCCTCTTTCTGGCCTGCCATCCATATCCACTCTTAGCATCTCTCACTCCAAATCTGAGCTCTGAAGTTCTCTAAGGTCTGAAGCCCTGAAGGTCCACTGGTTGTCACACATGTCAAATCTCACACTTGACCTTGGGTGGTGGGTCACATTCAAAACATAGGTAGGTTGGACATGTGTAGTAAATTAAAACTTTATAAAAATCATCTTTAGACAGTGTATATAAGGCATCAGAAGTGGTTTTTATTTCATGTTTTACAATATTTATATATATATATATATATATATATATATATATATATATATATGTAAATATTGTAAAACCTGAAATGCAAACCACTTCTGATCCCAGCTTTTAACCACAAATACACACTCAAGCCAAGACAGCAGCAAGCATAAGTAGTCTTGGACCAACATACTTTTGTGTATCTGTAACTGGGTATAAAATTTTGTATGTGTAATTTCATCTTACAGAAATTTTTCTTTTGGGCCAGATCTCCCTATATTTTGGCAAATATCGATATAGACTCACCTGCCATTAACCGATCTAGTGCCTTTACAAACAGCAGTGTTTTAATACTTGAGACATTGTGTGCTGAGCCTGAGCTTGGTTTTTTTTTGTTTTGTTTTTGTTTATTTTTCTGGAGAAGAATGGAAGAGGCTGGAGGTGGAGAGGGCAAGCCACCATTCTGAAAGTATAAAACAGGAGGTAGTTTCTTCCTGTCATCCCTGTGTCTCTCTCTCTCTCTTTTTAAAGATTTATTTATTTATTATGTATACAGTGTTCTGTCCGCATGGATGCCTGCAGGCCAGAAGAGGGTACTAGATCTCATTACAGATGGTTGTGAGCCACCATGTAGTTGCTGGGAATTGAACTCAGGACCCCTGGAAGAGCAGACAGTGCTCTTAACCTCTGAGCTATCTCTCTAGGCCCCATCCTTGTGTCTCAAATGGCTCTTTCTGTTAACACCATCTGGTAGAGATGGTGCTACCTGCCCTTGACCTTGGCCTCATCAGCTCTGTTCTCTTTGTGGCTGAGTTCACCACTGGCATCTCAGCGTGTGGGTGCACAGCTTTCTGGGGCACATGATGGGCCCCACCTCCGTTTCCTTGGTGTGAGGGTAGCTCTCAGAGTTGGCTAGCTTTCTCTACGAAAGGTTAGTCCCTGCATAGAAAAAGGAAGAAGAAAAAGAGGAGGAGGTGGAGGAGGAAGAGGGAGAAGAACAACACACACACACACACACACACACACACACACACACACACTCTCTCTCT